ACTCTGATAAAATCCTAATTAATTGTATCAAATGTTTTTCTCAAATCAATATTCAACATTACTCTAGGGGATGTATACTTCCTGCCATAGTTCTTAACCATTTCGTGTGCCAATAGGATATTGCTAGATATAAGTCTACCCTTAATGAAGACACTTTGGCATCACTAATCAAAGAACCCATAACTTTTTAAATCCTAGAAGCAATGACTTTTGAGATGATTTTATATATGCAATTACAGCATGATATAGGTCTGTAGTCAGAAGCAAAATGAGGATTAAGGATCTTAGGAATCAGAGTAATAGAAGTGGTATTGAATGTACCAAGTAATCTTCCTGAGTTGAAGAACTCCTCAACAGCTTCAAATAAATCATCATTAATAATTTCCCATGTGGCTTTGAAGAAGAAAGCATTATAACCATCAGGTCCTGGGCTTTTATCATTTGACATAGAAAAGATAGCCTTCTTTATTTCCTCTCTTGTTACAGGCAGGCTGAGCATTAACTTTTGATCTGATGTGAGTTGAGGTCCATTTGCAATAACCTCTGAGTTAGGAGTTAAGATAGGAACAGAGTAGGCAAGCAGGTTTTTATAGTATTTAGTAATTTCAGCAATCACCTGGGATTTATCAGTAATTCTGATCCCCTCCTTAGTGTGAAGTGACAAAATTTTATTGAGATGTCTTCTTTTTCTCATGACAGAATGGAATAATTTTGACCCCTTATCCCCTTGCAAACACCAGTTAATATTGGCTTTCTGCTTGAAGAATGAGTATTCGCAATCTAGCAGCCTGTCATACTTCTTAATGCATTCTTTTTCTTTTGCAATTAAGACTGTGCTGAAAAGATTATTACTAAGCTGCCTCTGTATATCCTCTAGCTCTTCCTTTGCTCTGCAAACCTGTTCACTTATGCTCATAAAATGTTTTTCGTTCAAATCTTTTAAAGCATATTTCAGCTTTTTAAGCTTGGTGTGGAAACTGAACATTTTGTAGCCTTTAACACTTTGCTCCCAAATAGATCTAACAGTTGTTAAGTAATCAGAATGCTTCACCTACATATTAAAGAATTTGAATGGTCTTTTACCCTCAATTTCATCATCAGCAATGGAAATTAAAGCAGGAGAATGATCAGAGCATTTAGGCAAGAGATATTCCACCTGACTGGATGTATAAAGAAGTAACCAGTCTTCATTTATTAAGCATCTGTCCAATCTAGACCAGATTCTACTTTCTGCCTCTTGCTTATTTGACCAAGTAAAATAACAGCCAATAGTACTCAAGTTCATCAAATGACTAATATTTATGAAATTTTGAAAATCTTCTGTATCTGTTTCTGATACTGGCAGCCCCCCAATTTTCTCTTCACAACTTGTAATTGCATTAAAGTCTCCTCCAATAATCCATGGGCCAGTTACATTTTGCTTATATTCCAATAGTTTCCTCCAAAGGATTTTCCTGCTTGACATTTGGTTAAGAGCATATACAATTGTGAAAAAACTGGAAAATTTCCCATCTCTTGACTCAATAGATAGAGTGATGAATTGCTCTGATAAGATAACATTCTGAATTATCAAGGACTCATTGTCCCAAAGTATCCAAATTTTGCAGTTTCTAGCTTCATGCATATTTGATATCCAATGCCAGCCTTTTGCAATTTTACTTGCTAGCATATGAAGTTTATTTTCAGGAATCTTGGTTTCCAGGAGAGCTAATAAGGAGAGTTTATGCTCTTGCTAGCATATGAAGTTTATTTTCAGGAATCTTGGTTTCCAGGAGAGCTAATAAGGAGAGTTTATGCTCTTGTATAAAATGCTTAACTATTGAATGCTTAGAGGATTTATTAAATCCTCTAATGTTCTAGATAGCAAAATGCATATTAGTGAGAATTCCCTCCTCTATCTGCACAAGAGGGATTAAGAGTCTACTGTTCAAGTATAGAGAACCGTGAAGGTTGAACTTCTGCAGACACTGCTCCAGCAAGAAAATTAAACTCTTTTGGCTAAAATAGCTCTTTTTATACTAGTGAATCCTGATGCATTAATAACTGGAGATGAGAAGCCTGCCTGCTGTAAGTGAGCATTTGTATTTGGGGATGAGATGTTAGCCTGCTGAGAGCCAGAAGAATACCCAGTCTGTGCATGTTTTCCAACTTGTGCATGTTTTTCAACATCCAGAGTTTCCAGGCTTGATGCTCTAATTAGATTACTTTCATTTTCTAGATTCACCTTAATAGGCTCAGCTTCAGTAACATGCCTAGCAACATCTTGAGAATCTTTTTCAACATGTTTATTAACAGGAACCCAAATCTTCCTCATCTTCCTGCTTCTACATTGTTCAGTATCATGACCAATCTTGCAACATAAAAAACACCATTTTGGTTTAAATTCATATATCACTGGTTGCTTATAACTTTTTCCATCAGGACCTTGGATTGTTAAGTAATCAGGTAATGACTCTTCCATTGGTAATTTTACATCAAGTAACACTCTAGCATAGCTCAATCTCTGCCTAGTGGCCGTGAGCATATCAGTTGAAATTGGCTTACCAATGAGGCTAGCAATTTTACTAATTCCAGTTGAGCTCCATAGATTTAACCTCAAATTGGGAAGTTGAATCCACATAGGATAAAATTGATCTTGCAACCTATCTATATCAGTGTCTATACTCCAAGGTTTTAGCATCAATGGTCTGGAACCAAAGAACCATGGACCTGCCTCAAGCACTTCTTTCATTTGTTTCTCTGTTTGAAAATCAAACAGGAATAATCCTTGTTTGATTAAGGAAACCTTAGGTATAGAGATTTTACCCCAAAGATTGTTAACATAGGCTTCCATTGCTTTGAATTTTACGTTCAAACCAATAACATGCCCAATTAAGGCATTTTTCCAAAGTTCTTCTCCCTCCTTCCACTCATTATTAGAGAACAAGACTGTGTTATGATGTGTAGATGGCAAGAATTTTAGGGGTAATCCATTTCCTGATTTCCTATTATCAGTGAAGAGACTTACAAAAGATTTAGATTCTTTAACCTCATTGATTTCCTCATTTTTCAGCCCTTTAATCTGATCACAAACATCATCATCCTTGATTAAATCAGATACAGGATGGTGACTTATAGCATTTTCCTCATTTAGAATATTTCCTGAATTCATAGGATTAACTCCTGTATCTTTCTTCGATGAAACAGTAGACTTATCGGATAACATTTCAGGAATCTTAGTGGATGATCCAGGAACTCTTGCAGAATTTGAAGAAGAACTCTGAAGAATGGGAAAATCAGAAGAGATTACCTCAAGATCAACTTCCTCCGCCCATGAAATCCTACGAGATTTGCTGTCTTCACTAGAATTGAGCAGTCGAGCTTGAATTCCATTCACTCGAGAAGAATCCAAAGGATGCTGCGAATTAACAAAAAAAATCAGAGGATCTGAGTATTTCCTCCATTGATTTCTTCATCTTTTCCCCTTTTGGACCAGTTGATCCCATTATACTAAAATCTTCATCATCTCCCTCCAAAAAAGTATCAGTGTTCCCCTTTTGGACCAGTTGATCCCATTATACTAAAATCTTCATCATCTCCCTCCAAAAAAGTATCAGTGTGATCTTCGGAGACTAGGAGATTGGAGTATACTAAAATCTTCATCATCTCCCTCCAAAAAAGTATCAGTGTGATCTTCGGAGACTAGGAGATTGGAGCTTGAATACCTCAAACCAATTTTCAGAATCTTCCTTCCGCTAGCTTTCTTCTTCCTCGCCATTAATTTCCAGGCAGGGGCGCAAGATAGCCGTCAGATCGCCAAACTATCGTACGCCTTCAGACATCCCACCAAAACTTTTGCATTACAGATTTTAGATCTATATAAATTCATTTTCTAGCAAATTTGTTTTAGAAACTTAAAAATATAACCTTAATTAAAATTAGAATAAAAATTTATTTGTTATAGATATTTTGTTATGATATATGTCGACATGATGAATGTTTCTAGTGCAACTTTAAAGGATAAATAGCTATGATAAATTAAATTTAGAGGAATAAAATGTAAAGCATAAATAAATATTTAATAATCAACCACATCGAATAAACCTCTAGTTAAATACTATTCATTTGTGAGTCAAATTCTAAAATTATTCTTTTACTATTAATAAACTACCAAATCTAATATGACCAAATATTTGGATGAATAATAATTGAACAGTTTAATACTTATGTTCATTTGCACCTCTATTTCCAGTGCCAATAAACTGGAAGCTGAACTCCCGCTAATGTTGCCTTTACTTTTTGACGTAAAGAAGTTCCAAACTAAGTGATAGAAAAGAAGAAGATACATCCTTTTTCATTGCAATCTTGATGTGGAAATACCACTTTCTAAACAAAGCATCCACTAATATCTTAGAATGATCGTGATTCATCTTAATAGTTTTTTTAATTTTGAGGAAAATTCGTTCTTAATGTTAATTTATAGTGTAATGTAAACTAACAATATTGTAAGAAAATTGTAATTAATCATTTCCATTTTCTCTCAAATTGTCTGATGATCGACAATTATATATGATTTAAAAAAAATATGTCTCTACTGTATAGCTGATGACTGAAGGAATCCAGCTGATCCAAATAAGGTAAGTCTTTCCTTGTTTTAGCGCATTTGTCAATTAGTGCTCCTAATTTTATTTTTGAATTTTTTTTCAAAAAACAGAGAAAGAAAGAATATAAAAGTTCAAATAGTTTGACAATTTTGTAATACAAATCAGTTAGTCTTAGATCCAATCTATCGCATGCCTATCCCTCAACCAGGAAAAGCCTGCAAAAATATTGCATGTGGGAAACAAACAAAAATACCACCAGTAAACTAGATTCCCTGATGAATGATAATGAAGGGAGGACTAAAGAGTGCATGTGAGGACAATATCACAAATAAGAACAAGTGATCAAGAAAGAAACAAAAATAAACATAAACATTTGTATATTAGGGTTTGAATAAAGAAGGTACTAATTTATATTACCTTGGGTGGAGACTATTCTTAACAATCTTCTGCCCATATTTTCTCCATTTGTATCCATCATCTAATACATCTACATCACTCCTTGTTTGAAAACAGAACCTTGGCTCTCTCATCTTCCTCCTCACCTTCGTCTTCCCCTTCTCCGGCCCAGACCTCTTCCACCTAAGCCATCAACAGAATCCCATATCAGACAATGAAAGAGACAAAGTTACCCTTCATAATACCATAACTCCTAATTACGGTAAAAATTTAGGGTTACAGTTTTATGTTCTAACATACTCTGATGCTAAAATAAGACTTTATAGTTTTATGTTGTGATACTTACCATGAACTGCTACCTCCATCTCTACCGGCTGACAGATCTTGATCGATACCAGCTTTAGGATCTGAAATCCTCATCTGATTGTACGAATCTATATCAATATATATACCAAACTAATCACAGTAGTATTAATCAAATTCTCAAGCATTACTATATTATTATATACCTTTTCATTGGACCAAGTCCTGGAGTTAGGGTTACAAGCATTTGCCAGAGCCTGATGACCATCAAAAGGAATCAAAGTATCCTCTTTAGATGCCACTGTGAAACTGAACAGACCTTCATGATTCACTTCAGGCTGATGCTGTCGAAATTCCAGGTTCGACAGCGAAGGGAGCTCAAGAACATAACAGCGAGAAGTCGGTCCTCCTCGCCCTTCCATCAAGAAAATTTAGATAATTTATTAAAGAGACGGCTAATTCTTTGAACTAGAGCCCTTTAAAGATTTCTTATCAACAGAGGAGGAAGGGAGAAGTTAGGGTTTTCGAGAAAGCATTTGTGGACAGGCAGAAGGTGGTTGAGTGCTCGAGGATCTTCGGATATTATCCGCCTTTTGTCATTTATGGAGGACAGTCACAGAGTGAGTAGTGGCCGTGTGTGAATATGATTAGAGATTAGTTTGGACGCAATAGCTAATTGCAAAATTAAGCATGATATAATTCTTTTCATGAATAGTAAGTTACCTTGTTTGTTAATAGTTTGGGGAATATGATAGATGCGTGTCAGAAAAATATAGTTGAAATACTTAATATATAGATGTATATACATATACACTAAACCCATCAAATTCTTTTTTTTTTGGTCAATGAAAATTTTTAATTCATTCACCACATATGAAAATAGATTTTGCAGTTATATACAGTGCAGATGTTATTTATGTGATGGTAAGGATGTATTGTGTCTGTCTGAGTTGTAATGAGTAGCATAGGATATGTCATATAACTGATACATGTTGAATATAACTAATTAAAGTTAACTACTAAAAAAACTAACCTGAGAAAAGTTCTTAACAAATTAAGTACTTTTTCCAGAGTCAATTAAATGGAAAAATATGTCAATTCCTACTGCAATAATATAGAATAAATAAAACATATATAATAACAAGAAAAACTAGATATATCACTATAAGGTGGGATACTAATTTTCATGTACCTAATGTTATCCGCACATGGTACTGATTTCTTAGCGAGTTAGCGCTAATAAAAGGCGATTATGAAGTTTGTGGTGTGCTTAATTTAAACATTTATTTTAAATATTAATCTATCAAATCTTAATAATGTTGTATGAATAGCTATTTAAGGTACATTGGAACAATTTTTGCAACTCCATATATAGATAATGTGTATTGTTCATAATTCCACCTTTAGCGTTACTCAAAAACTAATCCTAACATTCACTATCTTTCTCCCATTGAGACAAATATGAGGTTAAGAAGATTTGAATGATTAAAGTTCAATGGATATTTTTTCATGTAACAAGAAATATGCTTATCTAAGGAAGACTTAATATCAGGAAAACCCCCTTAACTTTGGATGACTATTATAAAACATCCCTTAATTTTCAAAATATTAGAAAACCCCCATTATGTTTAGGGGTTATCAGAAAACCCCGTTTAACTTTAAGGTTTTATCGCAAAAACCCCCTAATGGTGGTATCCCTTATTATCCCAGGTTTTAACGAACAGAAACACTCCCCAGTAGAGATTTCACCCCCGCGTGATAAAATAAATTTAAATTTTAGTTTTACATATTAATCTAATTTCTTGCAGAAAAACTTGCCAACTAAAAATCACTACATGGGGTACTCTTGTCCACTGATAATTTAGGATAATGAGGAATAACACCATTGTGAGGTTTTTTTGATGAAACCATAAAGTTAAAGGGGATTTTCTGATAACCCCTAAAACTTAAGAAAGGTTAAGAAGGGTTTTTTGATATTTTAAAAGTTAATGGTGTTTTGTGATAGTCTTCCAAAGTTAAAGGGAGGTTTTCTGATATAAGCCTTTAGGGAACTGGCATAAATTGACTTTGAGCTCGCAAAAAGCTACCAGCATGATGACATTAAGTTCTTTTTCATAAAAAAAAAAGTCTGCAATCTGGCTTGTCTTATTCAATCATTACAGAACCGATGCACAGTGGAACTGGAACCGCAAATGCATGCTATATAGGACATGAAGCACAAGAGCCATACTGCTTCAGATGAGCACTGGGTCACACCTATATGTGGAGGGTTCTGTACTCTATATAGGACATTAAAGTTTTGGAAGTTATAATGTAAATCCCCAGTAGGGCCAAAACCCTTATGAAAAGGTTATCATTAATCCAGGTGATTAAACTTGGAGATTCATGAATATTCGAAATAATTAGAAAGAGTACATATTGAATTTAAATAGTAAGTTGTCGCATACCTTTCTGGACTAAGTTGGTTTTCAACCAATAGATGTTTATAGATCATTTAATTTCATGAGAGGTCTGATTACTCTCCTTGCAAGAGGTGGTATCAAGTCCAAATTATGATGATAAAGTGATTATGACCTATTTAATAAAAGGGTGGTGTTTAATAATGCAAATGTTGGGGAGGATTCGTCCTATCGACAACCGTCAAATGAACCCTCTCGCGGAACGTACCCTCCGGATCTTGTGTTGAAAGAAGGCAAGAAGAAATCACAAATAAAAGAAAACTTTTTTTTTTTCATTTACCAAAAAAAAAAAAAAAACTTTACAAGGAAAAAAACATAGAAAAGAGAGCACCAAAATTTTAACGAGGTTCGGCAACTTGCCTACGTCCTCGGAAGCCACACCAAAAACTGCTTTAAATATTGAAGAAGATTACAAAAGCTTGCAAAGAGATGATCTCAATCTCCTCGAGATCTCTCTGTTCAAAACAACGTTCTCTCAAAAAATTGCTCAAGAAAATCGCTACAGGAATCGGGAGAATTTCTCTCTGGAAAAACTCGCTACAGGAGTCGGCGGAAAAATTTTCGGCTAAAGATCGCGACCAAAGTTCCTTATTTATAGGGAAACCCTAGGTCAAAAAAGGTAGATTCCAATCTGTCTTTTTCTGTGAGTTCGCCTGACTGCGAAGCTCTCTTGACTGTGAAGCTCGCCAGTATGACTTATGTTCGCTTGAGCATAGTCAAGCTTGCCTGAACTGCTTCGCCTGCACTTGAAGCTTGCATGCACTTGGAGCTTGCCTAAACTGCTTCGCCTGCACTTGGAGCTCGCCTGATCTTCCAAGTTCGCCTGAACTTCCAAAGCTCGCCTGATCTTTCAAGTTCTCCTGAACTATCAAGTTCACCTGAACTTCTTAACTTAGAGAAATCTTTGCTTTGCATGCTTGTTCTAAGGTTTGGGTCTACACCCAAAATAAAAAATCTCTCACTTAGAGACCAAACCTCCGTCAACAAGCTCTCTTCAACTTAGCAAGCACCTTCTCCTACCCGGAGAATCTCTTTCTTTAATTTAATATCTTTCTCATAGTGTGGCTCCTCCCTCATCTCCTACGCATGAAGACCAACTGAAGTTGCGCACAACTCTAGTTTCCGAATGGTCATCGCCTTTGTCAACATATCTACAGGATTTTGGCTCTCCAAAATCTTCTCTAATAGTAATTTTGCATCCTCTATCAGTGAGCATATAAAATGGTAACGTACATCGATGTGCTTCATTCTGACATGATATACTGGGTTCTTGGCAAGGTGTATAGCACTCTGGCTATCACAATAAAGAACTCTATTCCTCCACTTTAGACCCAACTCTTTCAGACATCCGGTTAACCAAATCATCTCCTTGTTAGCTTCAGTCAGTGCAACATACTCTGCCTCAGTCGTGGACAACATCACTATCTTCTGCAAATGTGAGACCCAGCTCACTACTGTTGACCCTAAGATATAAACATACCACGTGGTACTTCTCCTCGTATCATGATCATCAGCGAAATCTGCATCCAAGTATCTCTACAGTGTCAACTCCTTTCTCCCAAAACACAATGGAATATCCGTAGTCCCTCTTAAGTAGCGTAATATCCACTTCACGGCCTCCCAATGCTGCTTCCCTGGGTTTCTTACAAACCTGCTCATAACTCCCACTGCATGGGCGATATCCGGCCTCGTGCAAACCATCACATACGTTAGACTATAATTGTACCACTGTCTTAGAGCATGTTTCAAACCATATAAGCTCTTCTTGAGCCTACACACCATCTCTTCTTTACCTTCTTCAATGAAGCCAACAGGTTGCTTCATATATATTTTTCATCCAAGTCACCATGAAGAAAGGCAATCTTCATATCGAATGGTTGTAAGCTTCACAATGGGGGAAAATATCTCCGTATAATCCACTCCTTTCCACTGTTAGAATCCTTTCACAACTAATCTGGCCTTGTATCTCTTTCTTCCATCGCTCTCCTGCTTGACCCGGTAAATCCACTTGTTATGTAAGGTTTTCTTCTGTGTAGGTAGCTGGACTAACTCTTATGTCTCATTCGAGTGGAGAGAATCCATCTCTTCTTGCATCGCATGCTCCCACTACTGAGATTCACTCACTTGTATAGCCTCCTCATAGCACTTCGATTCTCCGCTATTTGTCAAAAGTAAATAATCTAGTGATGAGAGATATCCAGGATTCGGTTTGAGTACCCTGGATGACCTCCTAAGCTCCTCGCCCTAGGTAGTCTTCTCTACACCCGGAGTCTCCTCCGTTCTTTGGTCAGAATTGACATTATCTCCCCCATCTAGAAGTTCCTCCAAATTCATGTACTCAGTTGTACCTGCATCCTTAGTGCTGCTTCCACTTCTTTGGTTATCCTTGGTATTTTTCCTATCCTCGTATATAACCTCTTCATTGAATATGACGTCTCGGCTCCTGATGATTTTCTTATTCTTCTCATCTTACAAACGATATCTGAACTCATCAATGTTGCATCCAATGAATGTACACTTCTGTGACTTAGCTTCTAGCTTGTCCCTAACATGGTCACCGATATGAACATATGACATGCAACCAAAGACTCTCAAGTGTGAGAGATTAACCTTCTTGCCACTCCAAACCTCTTCTGGAATCCTAAAGTCTAGTGGGACTGAAGACCTGCATGTAGACGCATGCTCCTTACACGCTCTGTTAATGTTCTGTTCATTCTCTTTATAACACCATTCTATTGCGGTGTTCTTGGAGTAGTCCTCTCTAAACGAATCCTATTCAGAGGAAAAAACTTCTTGAACTCCTCGAGCTCATATTCTCCACCATCGTCTAATCTCAGACACTTCACTTTCAGATCTATCTCATTCTTCACCATGGCTTTCCACTTCTTGAAGATTCCAAATACCTCTGACTTGTGCTTCATGAAGTATACCCACACATTTCTTGAGTGATCATCAATAAAGGTGATATAGTATGCCGAACCGCTAAGAGAACACATATTAGCTGGACCCCATACGTCTATATGAACAAGCTCTTGCTTGTGAGCTTCAGGTGGTATTCCACTCTTCTGAAAGATGACCCTCTTCTGCTTCCCGTAGA